AATTTAAGTATTTTAGTAGTTAAGAAGAAGTTAAATTAATACCAGCAAACCAAAAAGAAGGTGTTGAACAATTTGAGTTGTGCCACAAATTTAGTATGCTGCTTCTTTGATAGGGCCATTTTGTTTCCAGTTCAATTAAGTGACAGTAGTAGGTATTTTTGCAAACCTCTTCTTTCCTTTTAATATCTCAGGTAGTTTATGTGTCTCTCAACATGGAAAGCTGAGGTTTTATTCAGTCAACTTTACACTGCCCAGAGCCACTGGGAAATTGGCAGTTAAGAAATATGTAGTACAAACAAACAAACAAACAAACAAACTTGGCTGCATCTTCTAGGATATTTGGTTTTCCCCCCTCCCTCAGGCTGCAGAGAAAGCAGGCTTGTCCTCAGGTAAAAGCCAGGAGCTTCTGAAAATTAGCACCTCACCTGAGGTGAAGAACCGTCTGAAAGAGACAACGGACGAAGCCCTGAAGTTTGGGGTAAGTGCCAGTATTTTATGAAATATATCATTCAGTCACAGTCTGTTTTCAAAAAGATGTAGGATCTTGGGAAGCTGAATTCTTTCATGCTCCGATGAGCAACTTTGTTGGCTAATGAAGTCACCTTAGAAGACCTACAGCCCCTCAGAACCTTCTGACTTATTTTTCCTGATCTTTGTAACTATTATCCATAATTTCCAATTGAAATATTGCTGTCATATTCATGAAGAACAGGGCAGATGGTCAACCTTATAATATAATATAGCACAGCAACAAGGTAACTGCCTATTATTTCCCATTTAGTGAGGTATTTTACAAAACCATTCCATGCGCAGATCAGCTTGAACTGATGTGTAATAATGCTTAAGATTTGTTTATGAGGATTGATGCATACTTGTGTGCCAACATTATTGCAGTGAAAAGCAATGAGCGTAATCCACATTTGGTCCAATGGGAGATAAGTAAGATTTGCTTAAGAGCAACGACACATGTGCTTCTTAATCTCACTTAAACTTTATAGTTTAAACTAAAATGCACCAGCATCTACCAAAGTATAGATAGTTGGATGGATGGCAAGGTGTTCAGAACTGTAAAAAACAGTGATACTCCGAAAACTCAAAAAGTTGACAAAAGGCAAAGACTTTCTAAAGTTGGGAGATTTTGCAAGTGTGACAGTTGATCTATCTTTCCTTTTATGGCTTTTGTTCTGTTTTCTCCTCATCCAGGCGAGCAGGTAAATTTTGATGTTCTATGAATCTTGAATATGTTTTCTGACAAAATAGCATTGGTGTGGAGGCACAGGTGAACTGGATCCATTTTCCAGTTCTTGGAAGGGAGTGGGGGAGCAATAGTGCACTTTTTTTTAACTTTAAAAACTGTCCTTGGGGAAATGCAGGTTAAATGTGCAGCCATCTAAACAGAAACTAATGGACACATTGGAACTCTTCTGGTTTGCATCTGTTACCCTGAACTACGTAGTTACAAGAAGCAGAATTTTCTACTTATACCTTATGTTGGGTTTTCCCAAGTAGGCGTTTGGAATGCCGTGTTTTGTTATCCAGACTGACGGACAACCCCAGCTTTTCTTTGGTTCAGATCGTATCGAACTACTAGGAAATGTTTTGGGTGAGTGTTATTAATGTTTCTGTTGTTAATTATTGAGGAATTTTCTTTAGGTTCTATAATGGACCAAAACGTTACAAAATATTATTTTGTTTGCTTGCAGTTTCCATAAAAAAGGAAAAAAAGGAAAATCTTGAATGCCTTGGGTTAGGAGGAAACTATTTTGCTGCTATTATCACTTAACAATATGGAAGTTGTTTGCTATTGTCTTGTTTTTTTCTTTTAGGTTACAGTGTGCCCCAAAACCTGTTTAGCTTTCTCAAAATACTCAAGTTGGCATCATCCAGCTGGGTTCCCTGTTACTTCAAACAGCTTGCTATTATCCTACTCTGTCTCTGAGGACCTTAGAACAGGGGTCCCCAACTCCCCCAAACATGGCCTGTTTTAAACTGGACCACACAAGCAATGGGCACTTGATTGGAGGACGCTTGCATGTGAAGCTCCATTCATGCAAATAGAGCTTTGTGTGCAAGCACTCTCCACTTGTACAAGTGGAGCGTCACACATGAGCACAAGTGTCCTCCACTCACACCATTTGTGCGCTCACACCAATGGAACTGTGTGCGGGCACATGCGTCTGCACTTATGCCCAACGCATGCTAGGCCATCCCACCAAGATTAAAAGATTGAGGACTACTGCATGTATAAGCGTTGTGTTTACTGAGTACTATAAAGAAAAAGGAGAGAAATATGTGTAACCAATAATTTACAAAGAGATGTCAAATGTCCTCATAATTTAAACATTATGTAAGTAGAATGTAACTTACCTTTTGTATAATTCTACTTTTGTTCTAAAGCTCATGAAAGAGGAAGAAAGAAGTTTTTTCCACACTGATGCTTTCATCCAAATTGCTTTTT